GGATGAAGTAAATCCTGCCCTCAGTTATATTTTGTATTCTGCTAAGTGTGTGCATTGTTAAGGTTAAAAGAACTTTATTGTGGAGTAATCTGTGAGGAACAGACACTTCAAAGAGATAAATACTCACTTCTGTTACATAAACAATTGACTCAAATCATTTGCTTCATGGTAAAAGACAAAGCTAGAGCCAAGTCCAAATGCTGTGGCATCAGTGCAGTCAGGGGAACAAAGATTCCTTTAGGTGAAATGCAGTCATTCAATCAAAGCGGCAGTAGTTTTGCAGAATTAGACAATGAGAGTGGAAGGAGAAGAGATTCTCTAGGGCTAAGAGTGAGTTGAAATATTCCATAATAAAGTCAGTTTCTATTGTGGGTTTTGAGTCAGGAAGTCATTTTGCTTCCACAAGTCTCACGTAATATCTAACATGCGTATGGATGGCTTTAGAGTTTACAAAGTGCGTTTGTATTTAAGTCGTGTAAACACTGTAAGCTATGTCCTATGTGTGTTAATAACAGCCAGTGCCTATTTAGCATTTCACATTTTACAAAATTCTATCTGTTATCTCTTTTAATTTCTTTTATTCCTCTCACGATTTTTAAAGATGAGAAAAAAGTTTCAAAAAGTTAAAATATTATAATTATCCAAAATCACAGGACCAGTAACAGCAAAAACTAGGTATTGAGCACTGGTTTCTAATTCTAGGTCCTTTTCCTACATACTACGTCCTGTCCCTCCTATTTCTTAAGACCGTTTCTTATAAGTGGTTAATGATCTTTTTCATAATTAATTCTTACATTCACTGTGTTCTTGTCCAGGTCTCTCAAAGTGAAAACAACTTTAAGTTCTACATTATGTGTGATGATGTTTCTTTCTTTTAGTTTACATTTCATTTCATCCCCATTCAGACTGTAGTCTCTCTGAAGGCGTGCACTGCAGGTTCCAGCACAGGACTTGGGCTTCCCCTCAGAGAGAGTAAACCGTGTCAGTAATTGGTTAAGCTAGAAGTTCAGACCAAGTCCCATCTGACGGCAAGGAATTGAGGAGAATAAGAGGCAAGAGATGAGAAAAGATAAGTTACAGTAAAACGTTCGGGATTTGTTCAAGTCCCCATGTTGGTAAACACCATCCTAGCATATAGCTTCTACTGTAAAATGCGCTGCAAGGTTGACCAGCAGGCTCATCCACTAAGCAGCTTACTTCTGAGCTTAAGTCTCACTTGACACCACAAAAATACAATTTAGCAAACAGCATGGCCATTTAGAATCATGCTTGTTTAGATACAATCACAATGTTAAATCCAGAAATGCCAAAAATTACTGTAAGAATAAAGGACTTCTTGACTTTTCTCTACTTCTTTCAGTGACCTTTACTAAGCTCGCTGCTATCAGGAGAGTATTCCTTGGTGACACTTCACCCTTAAAGATGTTTCTGGGAGTTTAGAATGCAAGTCTGTGTGTGTGCATGGCTTATGTGTACATGCTTGTGTATTACAGTATATGTTCACCATTTTCCTTCTTCATTCAGTGTAACTTACATCTTACTTCTCTTCAATTCCTTGTCCCCAGGTGGTAGGACTTGGCTGAAGTGTAAGCTCAGTTACTGACAAATTTGCTTATCTGTCAAATTCAAATCAAAAGGGTCTGACTCACAGAGCTGTTTCCACCAAATGTTACCATGTGCATGAAGGTGGTCTGTAGTGTCACATGTAACAGAAGACTGTCTCTCTCCAGATTTATAGAAAAGCAAATAGATAAAGTGAACCTCACAGGGTGTCTTTTGGGGGGAAAAGAGTCTCAGAATTCTCATCACCCCTCTTTTACTTTTCTCTTCTGATCCCGAGGATAGTCTCCCTGGCATAGACACTCTTCTCACACCTGGCCTACATCCCAGTGACTGTGCTTCGTTCACTATATTTTCCTTAAAGAGCCTGAGACCCAACCAGGCTCTGGAGGGGTGGAAAGTCAGTCTCTGCCTGCTGTGTCTTGGTGGTGCAAAGACAGATTGGATTTATTTCCATTTCGCTTGTTGATTTCAGTCTCATTACCTTACAGTCATACATAGTTATTTATTTGGTGAGTCTAATCTTGCCAAGTATGAATTTGACATTAGTCAGCTTCCACGGCCTCCCAAGTCATCCACTATACTTTTCATGAAAATTTTCAGGCTTTCTCATTAGATATACCATTGCTTCATAGCTGAAAAGCCCAAACCAGAATTTTAAAGGTTATTCTTGGCTTTTTGTTTGTTTGTTTTCTGTTATCCTCTGTATCTAAACTGTTACCAGATCTAGGTACTTCTCTCAGATCATTAGATGGAGTCACTCTATCTGTTTTGTGTTTCTTACTCTACCTTTCTACTTTAGTCTTTTGATGATTACAGCCTAAAATTATTTTTGAATACCAGTCTCTCTGCTTTCCAGGTATTATTCTCTGTGCATAAAAACCTGTGCTAGCTCCTTATTACTACCTGAATCAGGTCCAGAAATACTCTCTGGATTTCTAATCCCTTCTCAATCCACCAAAATATCCCTTCATTATTCTCCAGCATGTATTCTCCAATTTAGTAAGTACATTCTTTATTATAATTCCTGTTACATACTACACACATTCCCAACTCTTGCCTTTTGCCAAGATCTTTCCCAATCTAGAATTATTTTCCCCTTTGTCTCTTCCTGCCTCATCTCCTCCTCATTCAAATGTAAGTTCAGCCTTTGCCTGTCGTGTTCACCCCTAAATCCCAGTGCATAGGAAATTTCCTGGCACATGACAAAGTTTCAGCACATATTTATATGCTTACTAACTGACAGTCCTTCAATTCTCACTTCAAAGCTAATCCCTTTCTTAACCTCCATTATCTTCTTTTAAAACATTCATCTTTGTTTTCACCATTATATTATAAATTCCTTGATTATGAAATCCATAACTTGTCTACTTGCATCTCCTGCAGTGCCATAATAATGTGAGGAAAGTAAATATCATGCTTTGGGTGTATGACCCAAAGATGATTCATAACATATATATCTGTTGATTGCCTACTATTTGTCAGGAACTGTTCTAATATCTAAGATTATAACCTAGATGAATTGAATTATAAACCCACAATGCCACTACCTACGTAGCCTCCATAGATACATTTAAATTTTCTGAGCTTTGGACTCCTCTAGGAACTAAAAGAATTAAACTAGGTTAGCTTCAATGCCTTTTCCAGATTAATGTTCTCTGAATTTTAAATATTTATTTATAGATTGATGAACAGTGTTCAGTAAGTACTTGCTGACTGAATAATACAATCTTCAGCCTTTTAAACCCTGATTGTTGTCTGAAATAGTTGGGTCTATTTTTAGCTTTTTTCATGTATTTGTTTGTTCAACAATGTTTACTGAATACTCCTATGTGTGTCAAAAATGCTAGAGGTACACCAATGAACAAGACCAATCCCTCCATTCTGAGATAGCCTGCCTGTCATATCATAATGCACCAGCTGTCCCAGTGACCAAATTTACTTAAATTTCTTTAATAGAAGGGTAAATTTTTGCTAAACACTCCACCCCAATTCCAGCTAGCTGTAATCATTCTTAGTAACATATATTTTTTACTTTGAAAGAAGTTTAAACAAACAAATGAATAAATAAAATATGTCCTAGAAGTACAACTTATTTGAGGCTTCCCTAGCTCCATGGTTTTGAGGCATTGCCTCAATAGCTACAATGTTAGAAAAAGAGAATGTTAAGCAGGGTTCTGTAAGCCCATTCCTATGTTTAACTAGAGCAACTCCATTTGCAAATCTGTTTTGTATATTAAGGTTATGTGCTAAAAAGGTTTTGACGAGTACTGTTCTAGATGAACAACTGGAATTAACAATAAAATAGTAGACAGGGTGCTATATATAATTTTAATATGATTGGTGAATCCATGCTCAGTATGTGTTTGAATGATATAAGTGAAATGTAACTCACATCCCCCGATAGGCCAAGGGATTGTGGTATTGAAACTCCCCCAAATCAATCAAACGAATCTAGTGGTAACATTTAGACACACTTTTCTTTTTGCACTTGAACTTCCAGAGAGCTCCTCATGCTATAGAGTTCTTTGACATGACAGTTTCATTCTCATCAATGTATCAATTGGTAAATTGTGATTTAAGACAGCATCTTGAAGATTCCTGTTTTGACACCCTCTAATATTTCTACACTGTGCTACTCCAAGAAAAGTAACTTTGAATATATTTTAGATTTTCTGTAGTTGAAGATTAAGTCTATACTCTAAACACAAAAATCATTAACCATACAAGAGAAGTTCAAAAATAACTTTCTTATAAAGCTCACGTCAATACCAGAAAGCAATCATATAAATAATTCAATATTGTACTGGACTTAGGACTAAAAAAAATAATGGCATTTTCCTTATTTTGATCTCTGGCACTCCTCTTAAACTAATTTGAATTCTGGGTTGGGAGGGAGACTTTGGTGGCCTTTGTACTTTCCTCAAAACCTTAAGTGGTTTAGTTGACATCATTTCACAGGACTTAAAAACACTCCTTTGTCCTGAGATAGTAGCTAGAATAGATTGTCCGAGACATTTTCCATAAAGAATCCTTTTGCTGTATTCATTTCAGGCCTTCGTTTGAACTATCCTTGTGCCTAGGGTTCCAGCAAGTTGCTTCTCTCACTCTGACTCTAATATGCCGCAATGCCTTTTATTCTTTGCCTATAATCAAATGAGCCTCAAGGAGCTGAAAAACTCATCTTCAGCTAATGGGTCTTTTTGACAAGTTTAGAGAATTTGTCTAAAATAGGAATTCTTTATAATTTCAATGCTGGACAGAACATGATCACATTTTGTAAATATCTCTTCTGAAATAGCAAAACTAAGAAAATTAGAGTTAGCCTTTTGGAACCCATTTGGTCCTTGGGTCAAACAAATGATGATTATTGTTCTCTTCCTTGAGGGGCAAATTAAACTTTGAAATAGTAAAGCTTATTCAAAGTCTACTTTTTTCACAGTCACAATATTCTTCTCTATGAGGATGGGCATGCTGTGGTGGCTGATTTTGGAGGTAAGATTTCCAGGAGTAATACTCTGAGTGAAATCAGTTTCTTTCTTCATTCTTTAATTGGTGTCTGATATTGCATAATGAATCTGAAAATGGATTTAACACTGATAGTTGTATTTCTCTAAGTCACTCAAATTTCAATGACCCTGAATTTTGAAAGTATATCATTCATTTTTAGTTTTATTCCTCTTTGATATTCCGAGCTAAGAGAAAGGAAGTGAGAATTTGAATCAGACAGAGGTTTCTTAAGTTTTCAAAATTTTAGCTGTGATCTTTGACCTTGGTTTTGAGATATTTCCTTTGACATAAATTTGTTTTCTCTTTCTCTCAGAATCAAGATTTTTACAGTCTCTGGATGAAGACAACATGACAAAACAACCTGGGGTTTGCTGCTGCTTGTGTTTCCTATAATTATAAAGCAATTAAAATGTGTAAATGCAGCATGAGAGGAAGTGAGATGAGAGCAGCTTTAACTGGAAGAAATGTCTTTGTCTCAGTGGCAGGATAATGTTCTATGTTTTTATTTTCAGTTAGCCCCTAAAATAACTATTTCAAGGCTCTGGTAGAGAAGTAGATAAGATGTACATTTGAAATATGTTATGAATAAAATAATATAGCAAATGTTTCAAATACAACTAAAAAGTACATGACAGGCAGGGATAATTGGCTTTTGTATTTAGATCATCTTATTAAGTAGTAGAGTTAACATTTAATAGGTAATTAACTATCAAATTAGTAGTTCACCAGCATCTATTAACTATTCAGAGTTCTCCACTTTAACATTATAAGGCAATAGGTGGTATAACCAAGTATTAATGTTGAAGTAAAATATAAATTATAACATCTGAGGCAAGAATAATTGTACTCAAAATATCTGCAATTAAATTCACTCCTGCCCTCTCACTCCCCCTGCCCCCCAGGAAGAAAAATGTACACTTCTCTTTCTGACTACCTGTGATATCTCATTACCCAAGCTTAGAGTAATTTTTCATTTATTCCCTTTTCTGCTTCCACTTACACACTACTCAATCACTTTTTCTGGTTGTTTATTTCTTATCTTTTTTCTCTTTTGTTTTTTAAGTTCATCCCAACCTCTCATTTCCTGCTACCGCAGTTCAGCTCCTCTTCATCTCTCTTCTGGACTATCACAATAGGTTTCTAACTCCAGTCCTCTCTTCCAGCTCATTCTCTGCAACATCAGCCAAATGTTGCTGGCCTGGCAATACTCCTCCTCCTATAAACCCTCAACAGTATCCCACAGCCCACAGGCTAAAATCCAAATTCCTTTGCCTGGCAGCCTCCTGCCTTCCCCAGTCTGACCCCAGGGCCCTTCTGTGACCTCCTCCACTGCAAGTTCCCTCAAGCCCCTGGTCCCCATTTGAAAGCCACCTGGCTATTCTCTAAACATGCCATGCATTTTCAGGTCCCTGTGACTGCCATTGTGGTAACCTGTGCCTGGAAAGCCCTTCACTGTACCCCACCTGAGTGAAGTGTACTCATCTTGCAAGACTCAGGCAAATTTTACCCATTTTAAACAGGATCCCCTCTATAGTCTGCCCACATTACTCCCCACACACACACTTTTCTCTCTCTGCTTTTTGTAGCACTTTGTTTTGTTAGTTTGCATTCTTATTTATTCACTCAACAAACATTTATTGAGGGCTTACCATGTGTCAGACATTGTGCAGAGGACCCGAAATGCAAAACATGAATAAAAACTTAGTTCTTGACCTCAAGAAGCTCATTGTCTAGTG